GGTACCATAGGTGTATGCTCAAGTCACGGCCCAAGTCAGTATGTGACTGACTGTGCAATCTTCAGAAAGTCTTGGGTTTTTTTCCTCTTGAGCTTTTTACTTTGAGATAATTTTAGACCAGCAGTCAAGTTGTAAAAATAGTACAGAGCGTTCCATATACCCTTTACCCAACTTTGCCTTAGGTTGTCTTGCATAACCATGGAACAGTCATCAACACTAAGAATTTAACCTTGGGACAATACTATTAACCAGACTAGAACATTTACTAGACTTCACTCCAGTTTTCTTTTGTTGCTCTTTTTATGTTCAAGGGCCCAATCCAAATTGCATTTTTATTTACCATGCTTCCTCTGTCTCTTTCCATGTCTAACAGCTCATCCGTCTTATTTTTCATGACCCTGAGCCTTGAAGAGTACAGGTCAGTGATTTTGCAGAACGTTCGTCCATTTGGGTTGTTTTCTCATCATAGATTGGAGGTAAGTGTCCTTATGAAGGATGCCACGGAGAGGCCTGGCCCTTCTCGATGCGTTGTACAGAGAGCGCATGATGTTGGTGTGTTCCGCTATGATGCTAACTTTTGTCACCTGATTAATGTGGTGCCTGCCACAGTTCCCCACTGCAACGTTACTGTGTCTGTCTTTGCAACTACCATATATTTTTGGGTCAGTCTTTTGAGAGTGCAAGTGTTCTGTTTTTGCTTAAACTTTTACATCACTAATTTTAGCATTCATCAGTGGATCTTCTCTGTGGCAATTATTATTTTGGTGTTTTACACACGCGCACACACACGCACACACACACACACACACATATACCCCACATATACCCAGGCATATTAAACTGCAGGAAATAAAAGACAAAGAAAATTTTAGAACCAGCTAGAGCACAATGGAACATTATACTCACAGGAATGAGATGAGAATGATAGCAGAACTCTCATCAGAAACCATACAAATCTTTAAATATATATGATGTATATCTCTCTCTCTATATATCTATCTATCTATCTATAGATATCTGATATCTTTAAAGTGCTAATTCTTTTTTTTAAACTCTGGCAACAATACAACATTTTGTTTCTATCAAAAATATATTTCAAAAGTGGGGGAGAAACAAGGGCTTCACTCAGGCAAACAAAAATTGAGGAAATTCATTATCAGCAAACCTGCCCTACAAGAAATGTTAAAGAAAGTTTCCTAACATTTTAACACAGTGGGGAAGAAAGAAAACCTCTTCCACACAGAAGAATTGCAATTAATGAATGTAGAAGGAGTCAGGGGCATAAAGAATTACCATTACCATTAGAACATCGAAGTAAATACTTTTAAACCTTATTCTTGAGCCCTGTCAACATGAATCCCAGTTAACATGTACATAAAATAAGATTATTTATCCCTCTTATTTTAGAAAAATTTAAAGGTAGTTCAAAAATAAGTGCCTGCCCAATTCACAATGTGGTTATGAAGGCCAAAATACTATAATTATTAATGACTAAGCCTTAAGATGATAAAATGCTAGGAAGATATGAGATATTATTACAGCTTTCCCAGAACATTTTACTATATCAAGAGGTTCAGCTGGGTCAGCTGATACTGAAATGAAAGATGCATGGGACAGAGATAAAGACTTGGGGATTTTTTGGGTTTGATATCATCAAGATGGCACCACCTAACAATTGGGAAGAACCATTATTGAAACACAACATGGCAACTGCTGGGTTCCACGAGCAAGAACAAAGCAAAATCTTTCCCTGTTGGATGTAATGTCCCTTCCCTCTCCAAAAACCCAGCATGGGAACCAATGGTACCCACCAGCTGTGCAGTTCCTGGGGGTCCTGGAAGTCTTCCCTGAGCATCACCTCATTTGATCTTCGCAGCTACTTACTGCGAAGTAGCTGATGTTACCATTCCCACACCAGACATGCAAAAGGTCTGGGGCTCAGTGAGTCCACAGACTTTCTCAACCTCTCCTACACTGGCATCGAGCCCAAGTGTTCTGACACTAAGAACTCTTCTTCACCTTGCAATTGGCCTGATCTCACACCTATACTTTGTTATTTGTATGCTACTGCTCCAAACTGTACCAATGGCTCTGGTAAATGTGAGATGATTTTAGGGGCCCCCCCAGGAGTGGAATTAATTGATGTCAAATTACATGGTGAGGAAGTTATTCCTTTTTCAGTTCCCTTCCAGTCCTTTTGGTTACATCATAGAGAAAGTCTCTGTTTGGTGTCTTTATATGTTTATTTATTTTTTTGGTGAGGCTGGGGTTTGAATTCAGGTCTTTGCTTTTGCAAAGCAGGGGTTCTACTGCTTGAGCAATGCCTTCAGTCCATTTTGCTGTGGTTATTATGGAGATGGGGGTCTCCTGAACTATTTGTCTGGGCTAGTCTTGAACCAAGGTCCTTCTATTCTCAGCCTCCCAAGTAAGTAGGATGACTGGTGTCTTTGTCACCTCTCCTATACTGCTAATCTTTGGTTTTAACTGTGGGAGAAAAGGCCTGAGGCTAACTAGGATACAGAATCTGACTGGATTTTAATAGCGTAGTTTGATCTTTATTTTCTTGACTTTCATAATTAATGTATTTCCTATTTATAGCAAGTGATAACAGTCTTCCATTTAGTTAGTGTGCCAAAGTCTCTTTTTAAGACAAAGTTAATTAAAAGCTGAGCTGAAAAAAAGTTAAGAAGACACAGCAGTGTGAAGGCCTGGCAAAACATGGGCAAACAGTGTGGGATGATGGTCCCAAGAGAAACAGGAGACGCCAGCTCACATTTGTACATCATAGAGAACTCCAAGTAGCTCAGCCATGAGCCTGGCTCTGGGTGCAGCCTGAAAGCCTCATTAAGGTCACGTCAATGAGGAGACTCTGGTCTCCTAATGGAGGAGCAGTGGCCAACCACAGTGGCGTCTGTTTACAGCCACTTTCCTCATGGCCAGGGCCACACAACATGACCTGTGATGGGGCAGCCACCAGTTGACAAATAGTATAGAGAGACAGAATACAGAGAATTAGTGAGGAGGGCTGGAGGTAGGACAAGTAGGGACAGAGGTGACAAGAGAAAGTAGCAGGAAAGAAAACCATGGCTGCTTCCTTTCACATCCATGTTTGCATCTGTAGCAAAATTATGGCACTTGTGGGTTCCAGGGTTTGAACTGCAGCATTGATTTATTCTTGAAATATCCTTGCTGATCAACTCATGCCTAGCAGCAACTGTGGAGAGATTCAACTAAATAAAGATTCTCAGTTTTGTAATTATTTTTGGCATAGATTACTACAATTCTTCCATCCATTCATCTGTCCATCCATCCATCTGCCCTCCCTCCTTCCCTTTCCTGTTTTTTTCTTCCCTCTCTCCTTCCTTCTTTCCTTCCCTTTCTTCTTTCCTTCCTCCCTCCCTCCCTTTCTTCCCTAGTCTCCTTCATTCTTCCCTTTCTTCCTTCCCTCCATCTCCTTCCTCCCTCCCCTCCATCTCTTTCCTCACTCCCTCGCTCCCTTGCTCCCCTTTCATCTCCTCTCTCCCTCCCATTCCTTTCTCCTTTGTTCCTTTCTTCCATCTCCCTTCTCCCTCCCTCTCTTCCTCATTCCCTGTCTCCCTCCCTCCCTTCCTTCCCTCAGTCTCCTTCCTTCCTCCCTTTCTCCCTTCCTTCCAGCTCCTTCCTTCCCTTTGTCTTCTTCCTTTCTCCCCCTCCTCTTTCCCTCCCTCCCTTTTTCTTTCCCTCCCTCCCTCCCTTCCCTCTGTCTCCTTCCTTCTTTCCTTTCACCACAAAATACTGCATATTTCTGCTTACACTGATTCTCAAATGTTCTCCTCAAGCAGTCCCCAACCTAGAGAATAAACTCATTCTCTGAGACTCAGAGGGGATTCTCAGGAAGCTCAAGTCAATTTCAAAAATTAGCTGAAAAGCTTATGCCGATTTTGGATCTTACTTACAGAAAGCTATGTGATTTAACATAATGCCTCTGCAAAAATCCTCTGGTAAAGCTGACCCTCTCAGAAGGTGAGCCTTGCTTTTACTGATGCTCTTTAGCCTCCTGGTACATCACCACAGTCTCCAGGGACCCACACTGGGACACAAGGACCTGCTAAGAGTCAGCACCCAGCTGCCCACAATGAGTACCCATGGAATCGTAGTTAATAAAATGAGAATTTATTAAATTTTCAGTTCTAATAAATAGTCAAGTCATTATCTCTGCAGTGGGCCCCAAGCCCTGGTAAAAATGAAATGGTCTATGTGACCATCAAAAGAGAAAATGTTTAACTATGTTCTTTAGTTACAAAAGTGAGTCTCTGTCCCATCACCGCCATCTTGACACAGTTTAAAGGCTTGAAGTGGAATTCAATTTTCTTATCACATCGAGGTCCCAGAGACACCTTAACCAAACATTCTGACTTTAAAATTAAAAAGCAAAGAGAAACAAAAAGCCAAGAAGCTGGTGTAAAGAGTAGGCTAGATAGTCTCCCTATCTATGGAACACTGACAAGTCTGCTAGGAAGATAACCTGGCCAAAAGAAGGCCTAGGCACATTCTGGAACATTCTTTCCCTTTTCTTGGGGCTAGGTGAGGCAGTGAATTCAGCCATTCGGAGTTCCAGGGAAGAATTAGGGTCCTCATGGTTCTCATTTCCAAATGAAAAAGACAGCAGTGGGAAATCGAGGCTGGAGTGAAACCTGTCCCACTCAGGCAGTTAAAACCTTGGAGGAGGAGAGCAGAGGGGGCCAGGAGCAGCAATGCAGTGTCCTGTGTTGTTTTTGTGATTCATTCTGCACGTCAAGAGTAAAGATAACAGACAGGCATGGAGGCTTCCTGTTCCCCAGGCCTGGAAGGTGGCATGTTGGTTGGGGTGAAGGACAGATTTTGCAAGCTGGACTTGAGCTAATTGGAACAGCTCCCAGCATAAGCCCAGAGAGGGGCAGAGCTGAGCTTACCTTGCCAACAACAGCCCCTCAGCCTCCATGGGCCCCTCAGCCTCCACACCCAGCATCCACTCCTTGCTTCTACCTGTCCCCACTCGTCTCTGCCAACCTGTTGTTCATTATTGCAAAGGCTCCCACCCCCCCTGAGAACTCATCATCCCGGGACTGCTGGTGGGGGCCGCCATTGGCCATCTCGGACAGCTGTTTCTGGAGGATGGCTAGAGAGACCTTGTTGGAATCCTTCATGGAGATCATCTCCCCTGAGAGACGCCTTCCATCTGTGTCGCTCTCTGCCACCCCATCAGTTTCTATGGAGATGTTGCACCTGTTCCGGACATTACCAGGCATTACCACATTCCGCCTGGACCGCAAGAGTCCTCTGGGGCATTGTTGGAAGCACCCGCCATCCATTTTCCTCAGGATCCAGTTCACAGTCTGTTTGATCAGGATGGAGATGACGTTGAACAAGGAGTAGATGCAGCAGACGCCCATGAGGATGAAGATGAAGTTGGCAAAGCGGTAGAGGCCTTGGCTGTCATACTGGGCGTTCTGGCTGCTGACGAGGTCCCCAAAGCCAATGGTGCTGAAAGCCACAAAGCAGAAGTAGAGTGAGTCGAAGTAGCTCCAGCCTTCCATGGGGGCATACAGGGCTGATGCCCCGCAGGAGATGAGCACCGAGGCCGAACACAGGATCAGCATGACGTAGTACACTGAGGGCTTCCAGCCAGCCAGGCTGTCCATCCCGCCCTTCCCTGGGGCCTTCAGGCTGTCCTGGGGCAGGGTCCCTCGTCTCCGCAGCTGGCGCTGGTGGCAGGATCTCATGATGTAGGCAATGACGGTGATTAGGCGCTCCAGGAAAAGGTTGAAGAACAGGATGGTGCTGGCGCATCCAATGAGACCATAAAAGATCAGGAAGATTTTCCCTCCTACTGTTGCTGGAGTCGTCATCCCGAACCCTGAGGGAGACAAAAATCAGAGGAGAGTGAGAGAGGTCTTGGATGTAAATGGGATTGGGGTCTTGGCTTTGATGATTGGTATAAAGAACCTGAAGAAACTGTCATGAAGTCACTCAGTTAAAGGCTTTCTAGGAAAGAGTGGAGAATTCCAGTCTCTTTTGGAAGACACCAAGTGTTGTTCAGAGCACAGAGTGGGCTACTGCAAGCCCATATGGTACTATTGTGCAAAGCAGAAGAAGGATGGATACAGCCAGGAGAAAATGGCTTGGTGATGACAATGTGGCTGGATTTCAGCCTCTCCCCATTTTGCTGGATGTCCTTGTATGATATGCAACCTGAGCAACCCTACTCAACAGACCTTGTTCAGAAAGACAGCAAAGGCTCTCTCTCACACACAAAGGCTTTATAGACTCATCAGAATTCATTATTTCATAAACACTTACTGAACTGGGAAAAGAACTGCAGAAAAGACAGATTTGGTCCCTGAACTCGTGGAGCACCGAGCATACTGTGTTGGGTCAGACGGAATGTAGTGCTCTATGAGAGGTGCTAAGAGGGAAGCTCCTCTTAGACTTGGGGTTATGGGGAGATTACACATGGAGATCTGAGGCAAAGGAGGAGTCTGTCAGGCAGGAGAAAGGTGTGTGTGAGGGGTGATGAGGTGGGGAAGGACATTCTAGACAGAGAAACAGTAGATGCCTGCATAAGTAGAAATGAGAAATTGCCTGAGATTTTCTCATCTTTTAAACAAAATTCTTCAAAAACACATCTCAGGCTTTTGGAGTGACAACAGAGGTACCGGATGGTATAGTTTGATATAGTATCTCCTGCTAACTGTTCGTAATTACCACCTTCTTGACTTTTCTACTCATCTGTGCACACAGGCCCACTGCTAAGAATATATATTGTAGGACAATGGATGTCATTAAGAAAAACAAAAATAAACCCAGGTGTGGTGGCACATACCTGTAATCTCAGCACGCAGGAGACAGAGGAAAGAGGATTGCAAGTTTGAGGCCAGCCTAGACTACACAGTGAGATCCCACCCCAAAACAAAGTAAAACAAAAAACTAAACAAGGTCAGGCATGGGTGACTCATACCTTTAATCCTAGCTAACTGGGAGGCTGAGATTGAGAGGATCATGGTTTGAGGTCAGCCTGGGCAAATCATTTGTCCAGATTGGGGGGTAGACCCCCATCTTCAAAATAACCAGAGCAAAATGGACTGGAAGCATGGCTCAAGTGGTAGGGCACCTGCTTTGTAAGCTTGAAGCAAGTGCAAAGCCCTGAGTTCAACATTCGACCTTACCAAAAAAAAAAAAAAACCAAAACCAAAATAATAGCAACAACAAAACACCACAAATGGAGAACAGCAGCAACACACACAGTATTTCTCGTCAGGGGCAATGAGGTCAGCCCACCCTCATGATGCGAGATGCCTTGTTGGGAACCGGCATCAGAGTTGCTCTGGCTACAAACACCAGAAGGAAAAAAATGAGTGCTGAGTACCTCCCTGGGTTCACTTCTTATTCAGATCACATCTGCTTCTTTCCATTTTTCCTTTAAGTTCAGTTGCCCTGTGGAGTCCCATCAATGGGATCCTGAAGACTTACCCATTATCCTTTCCTGATAATCTCCCTCATCCCCAGCCAGTGCTTTCCTTGTTGCTTCAGCTCAGTCTGTGGTTGCCTGCCAGCATCCCCTAGGAGATGGTCATTCCATGTTAAGATGGGTGGGCCTCTGGGGTTATGACTTTTTGGTCTCCCAAGGTTGAGCCAAGGGCCACCTTTCTTAAACACCTAGATGTGTGTCTGTGTGACCATGTAGATCTCCAACTAAATTCACTGTACACAAGGAGCTGCTACTGGGTAAGAGACGAACAGTCTAGAACTAGGACAAGGAAGGAAGATAAGGATGGGGATCAACATATTGAGAGTAAGTCAGAGCCCTTAATGGGTGTGAGAAAAGTCAGACCATCCTCTTTCCTTTGAGAGCTCTTTTCAAAATCAAAGTCCCCTCAGCAACTCTTGGCACCAGAGGTCTTATTTGTCTTTATTATGTAAAGAAATACTGTCTTCATTGTACTTTCTCTTGTTAGGATCTTTAATTTGTATTCCCAAGCTCAAGTTGGAATGAGGTGGTTGAAGTCATGGAGAATTGAGTTGAATGATTCAAGTAAATGGAGTTTAATGACTAAGTTGGGCACGATGTTTTTTTGTTTTTTTTTCCTACCCAGTCCCAAAGAATACCAAAGTGTCAACTAATTAGTTCTTCATTTTCTAAAGAACTTGGGGCCACTTTCACTGGCTCAGTGAACTCCTGGAACCAGGAAAGCTTGTAATGTTTCCCCAGTAGAAAGATAAATGAAAAGTTACAGCTTTGGGTCAGAGAACACTGCTGCTCCTGTCACTGAGAACAGCAGGCTGAGGCAAACACAGGCCATTTGCCAATCTGGTAACATTCCAGAAACTGGATGAAGTTAACAGAAGTGGGGAAGATTTTAAAACAGTAACTGGGGTGTATAGGGGGGCTTACAAACCATCAAAAGAACTTTCTCATGTAGCTTTCTCAACTCCCCAGAGGTGAAGTGGATCTTTACTCTTGGGAATCATTACGATGAGCTCCTGGTCACAAGGCCATAGGAATAATTTATTGAGCACATGTTCAGTTCAAGGCCCTGAACTAAGCACTGGGACCACTGCTATGATCTGAAAGATGTGTCCCCCCAAATTCAAATGTTGAGATCCCTACCCTAGGGTGATGGTATTAGAAGGGGGACCTTCATGAGGTGATTAGGTTATGGGGTGGGGCCTTCATGATGGCATTAGTGCCCTTATAAAAGACACCCTGAAAAACTTCTTCACTCTTTCCGTCATATGAGGAAACAGCAAGTAGGTCTATGAGGAAGCCAGCCCTCACCAGATACTGAATCTGCTGGACTTGGTCTTGGACTTCCTGGCCTCCAGAACTGTGAGTAATAAATCTCTGTTGTTTATAAGCCACCTAGTCTCTGGCATTTTGTTGTAGCAGCCGGAATAGAGTAAGGCAGCCTCTCAAATGACCTGGATGAGGCCCTTGACTGCAAGGAATCCAGCACCTGTGCTGGGACAAATAAACTATAAAATAAGCCACAGTGGGTCAAAATACACATATGACCACTGAATGTGGTCTCACTTTGGGCCGAGTGACTTGGGCACATATAGATGCTTGGCTGACATCAGCTCACAAGACAAGGAACTGATTTTTCCCGGAAATGAGGCTTCTAGTGATTCTGTGACATGTTCCAAGGATTTAAAATGTCTAGATTATGTTTTGCTTATTTGGTTGTACAACAGTCCATTTCATTGAAGAGGGGATAATCATAACTTCTGGTGCATACTGTATTTGATTGATTACAACCATTCTTCAATGAGCAGAAATAACAGAAAATGGCAAGAGCAGTGGTTTTGTGGAAGCCACGGAACTAGGGTGTTTCTATAGCTTTTACTGCTTTCTGAGCTTAAAAGTGTGCAAGCTTTCTCTTTTACAGAAAGTTACCCCTTTGGAATCTTTTAATACTGAGCATCAGAATGCCTTGGATTGTGAATAATAACACTGGGGCTCCCTCTTGGGAGAGGGTAAGGACAAAAGCATTAAGATCCAAGACCTGCTCTCTGCCACCCCCATGCTCAGAGCTGTGGCTTGCATACGGTTTAATCCTCATTGGGAGGATGGATGAGTATGGAAACTCAATCTGACTATGCCGTTAGAGGTGAGGCCTTTGGGAGGTGATAATGATTAGATAAGGTCATCAAGGTGCAGCCCCATGATTGAATGCTAGTGACTTTATAAGAAGAGAGACAGACCAGGGGAGACTCACACATGCCCTCTGTGTCTCTCACTGTGTGACACCTCAGGACTCTGCCAGTAACAAGGCCACCACCAGATATGGGTCCTCAACCTTGAACTTCTAGAACCATGAGCCAAAATAAACAGAAGAGAAAAAGACCAAAGCTAAGTAACTTCCTGAAGCCATAGCTAGAATTATGACTTAGAGAGTCAGGCTTTCCCCACCTGACTACAGTGAGTACGGGCTGCTTTCAGGTCTACAAGCCTCTGATAGAACTGAGGAAAGAAATTAACTAAGCATTTATAATTTCATGCTTTACACACACACACAGACTGTTATGGCCACCAAACCTGGTACTGAAATCAGGGAGATTTAGCTGCACTCAGAAGCTGAAAACCTGTAATTTTCACCTATTAAAATACACAATTCTGAATGTATGCATGTCTGTTCAAATGATATAATTAAATCAGTTTAAAACCCTTTTACATCCCATGCATTCTTTCCTCCCTCCCTCCAACTCTTCTTCCCTCCTCTTTCCCCCCTTCTCACTGCAGTAATGGGGTTTGAACTCAGTGCCTCTGGTTGGCTGGACAAGCCATGCCTCCAATCTTGCATCTCCATTTGATAGGGGCACTAGTGAAACTGATTGTCACAGGTGTTGATTTCAATACGTAATTTACTCCCCGTACTTCAAGTCTGAGATCATCTGATTTATGTGCAACCCCAAGAATGGGAGCAGCTGAGCTGAGTGAGGCCAAGGACACATGGGGTTGGTTTGGAGGTCAGTGAAGGTCACATCTACTCTCAGGTTAATTTCAACCAGTGTTCACCTGACTGTAACCTTTAGGGCAGCTTCTGAGCCAATCTAGTCTCTGGTACTTGGGCTAGACAGGAAGCCACTAGGAACTGCCAAGGTTGCAGTCAGTCCCCATGGACCCCTTCAGAGAGACCACTGAGAGAGGAAGGCAGGACTGTAGTCTCAGAATCTTTTATGTGTAGGCTGGTAAGTAGTCTTTCTCGAAATTTAATTGAGGTGAAAGGTGTTAAAACTTTGCATTGTATTTTTCAAACATATACGAAGGTTGGGAGAATAATATGACAAACCCTCCTTTCCCAGGCTCAGCAATTACCAACATTTTGGCAATTATGTTATCCAGCTTTCTGTCGCTGT